GGTCTTCCTGAAAACCTGGAGGCATTGCAGCGAGCCTTGCCGAACCAGGAGCCACACACGGTGGCAGGCTATCGGCGAAGAGCATGGCGTCATCATGTCCGCGAACTTCATCGTCGAGCTGGCAGACAAGTACCAGAGGGACGTTGGCCACCCGAAGAGGATCGCGACTTGTACCTGGTGCAAACAAGTGATGCACCAGTGCACAACTTTCCGGAACAGTGCTCTCTGCCTGAACAGCCCTTTCGTGCTCGTGAACGCTTGGGGAGTGGTGCAAGACGTCGTGGCCAACGTCATGTTCGTCGTCAGTGGACGGGGTCAGTTGGTGAAGGCGGCCGTGGCAGGGTGACGCTGGAAACTGCTGGTGGTGATGCTCAAGCTAGGGGCAGTGGTCGTGAAGTGAGTGAAAGAAGCCGAAGCCGAGATGGGCTGAACTGAGTGGGCGATCCTGAGGCTAAGCTGTAAGTGTTGTGTTTTGAGTGCACGTTCGAACTGAGCGAGCCTTGGACCTCATGCGGGAGAAAGGGCTAGTGCATTAAAAAAAAAAAACCTAAACCCTAAACCCTAAACCTATTGTAGGCGCCTTAAGAAGCCTGTTTAGGGTTAAGAGGGTTCAGGGTTTAGGGTTTATGGCTTAGGGTTAGGAGGGTTCATGGTTCCGGATTTAGGGGCTTAAATAATTGCCATTACCAATGTTATTCTTGGTGGTTCCTTACAAAAATGTTAGTATACAATGCCCCCCAAGACCTTATTATAATTATTAAGGCCCCTACGTTGATAGAATCCTTTTTTCAGAAGCCTGATACATGGACATGCTGCCTTGGGGTCACGGTCCCCTTTTAATGCCCAAACCTACCGAAGCCTCCAAAGAGTCCGGAAGGAGGGGTACCGGTTGAGGGTTCAGCGTTCAGCATAGCGTAGGTTGCGATAACTTTGTCAGCCCTTTTGCAAGGCATGTTGCCCTGTCCAGATGTTGTCCTGATAGTACTATAATGTTTCTTATGTAATGTTTCAACCTACTACCATGGTTATGGTTATTACCATTATTATGATTATCTATACATTTATTGGGTTTATGGGGTTAAGGTGAACCCTACCCCCCCTCCCCCCCCCAAACCCAACACCATTCAACCCTAGACCCTAAACCCTAAACCTCCGTTAATCTCCCCTAAGGCCCAAGCCCTCAAAGAGGTGCCCGGCTGCGTTCGTGGTTGAAGAAGGAGTCAGATCCGGCCACGGACACTGATTCGTCTCTTTCCTCGTCGGAATCTCACGAACTTCGCAGCAACGGCGGCAACTAACACGGAGCTCATGCGTAAAATAGGGGCTTGAAGAATTGCTGCTACTGTGTTATAATTCTTCAGGGTTCCATGATACACTTAACTAACTTAAACTATAGTATACCCAAAAATCCGAATCTGATTCTGAGCTTGGTATGAGCTCTGAATCTTCTTGGTAACATTACAACACATCGACTGCCACCTGGCGTTTGCAGTTTCATCTGCTTTTTTTTTCGCGCCACTGCGCGCCGGCAACAATGCACAATTACATTTTCATGTGCTCATGCCCGCTTCCACAGCCCTGGAATTCCGGATTAGATTGCGAGCGTATGCAACGCATATGCTCGTGGTGGCGGTGGAGTTGCCAATGTGCAACTGTGGCGGAGCATTACCATTTCGCGAGCACTGTGTTGTTGAAACCTTGGTTCAAGTTACTCGATAAACCCTCAAACCCCGTATTTGCGTGAGCTGTCAGAGAGTCGAAGCCCCTTAGTCTTAGAAAGCAGGCTTCGTAAATCTGGGACCAACACACTAACATCCAAACCCGAACCCCCTAAGCCCCATAAACCCTACCCTAAACCCTAAACCCTAAACCCTAAACCCTCAAAGAAACTCCCATTAGACCCCCCCCCTTGGACGAGACTCCCAAGCCTTAAAGCTCACAGCTCGAAACCTGCGTAACTATGCCTGTAAAACCTACCCTTTCAAGGCTCCGTACTATGGCATGATTATATGTATATTATATAGACTACATGTATGTGTATATATATATATATATGTATATCCTGAAACTTGAAAGCCTGATCGTAGCTTTCGGCGTTGTGTTGTGCAGGGCCGTTTCGGGATGCGTGTTTGGGGCAGTTTCGGGTTTCTCCGCTGTCACAAGTGCAGCTTGGAACGAGTCAGCTGTCCTGGTGTGACGTTGCAAGCCAGTTGAAGAAAGGGTTTCTTTGCACCCAAAGGGTCCAAGTAGTAATATGGTAGCTACTTTGTAGGTATTTGGGCCCCAAAGTATTTACCATACTGTAACTTGGACCCTTTGGGGGGGGTCTTGGCGTTTAGGCTTGGACCTCTCGAGCTGCGTGCTGTGAACCGTTCGGGCCTTTGTTGCTTACAGTGTTTCGGCATGGAAGTTTCCGACATCTCAAGGACACAAGTGCCAATACAATTCGGAGCCCAGACACAACCCTAACCCTAAATCCTAAACCTGAAACCCTAAACCCCAAAAGGTGACAGGTTACGTTACATCGGATTGCTGGCTGTGGTAAAAGGTCCCTTCCGAAGCGATCGAAGACAGTTGGGTCGATCTCCGAACCCCTGAACTCTCAACTCTGTGTCTCTGGGCTGTTAACATAGCGGGGCCTTGTTCACTAGAGTATCTAGAACAGTGTTCCTAATATCACCATAATTATTCATATATATATATATATACATATGGTATTTTTTGCCCTGAACCATATTCTAGGTATTTCTAGCTATTGAGGTCGTAGATTAGCTTTCGTGCGTTGGTGCATGTTCTTGCATCGAATGCGCCGGTCGTGCAGCTTCGCCGCTTGAGATAGGACCTTAGGCACGACAGGGGCTGCATGGGTTTTCGTTTTGGGGCTTCGGGAACCTACATCGCAGGCACGATGTCGGGACAACTACATGGTTTAGTAGCTGACTTTTGAAAGTGAGACGGCCCGATGTCGGTCGTCATCGAGGTACACGACGCCAGAGGCCCTGGTTTTGCACGGCATCGTAGCTCCCAACCGCTGGTGCGTCACGCGGTCAGACCTGATCTATTTGCGGCATGAGGTTTGGCGCGCCATCCAGTGTGGGGAGACTCGTCCGTTCGATAACGGTGATCCTTTGAGCTGTCCGACGATCAGTATGGGCCAAGCATCCACACGGTCAACAGGCAGTACAGCAGGCCAGTGACGGATAAAGCTGGCAAGACTCTCTCTGCCCCTTTGCGGAACTGTCTTTCTCCAGCTCCTTTTGGCCCGAGGCAGAGGGTTTCGGGTTTAGGCTTTAGCGTGTCGTCCATGACCAGTGCTGCAGCCTGACAGCTGAAGCTAGACTAATTGCACGACCGGAATGCATTGTCAACAGCAAGTGCAGGACATAGAGCCAGATGGATAGTAGGGTAGGAAAATATAACATGACTATAAGCTCAGAGCGTGCCTTCAGAAAGGCCTTTCAATGTGCATGTTGCTGGCCTAAAATTAAAGACGTGGAATGATTAAGAACGGCTTCCAACTTCGTACGTCGAAGAGGTCGGCGACAGCATCGAGATATACCACCCCGGAAGCTCTGGCTTTGCATGAGGCCGTAACTCCCGACCGTTGGTGTGTCACCCGGTCAGATCTGATATACTTACGGCACGAGGTTTGGCGTGCCATCCAGTGCGGGGAGATACGCCCTCTTGATAACACTGACCGTTTTGAACCTTCGGACGGTCTATACGGGCCAAACGTCTACACGGTGAACAAGCAATACATCATGCCGGTGACGGATGAAGCCGGCAAGGTGAGTTGGGCACTCATGCGCCATCCGGAAGGTTTGGATTGCGATGTCTTCATCAGCCATGCCTGGCAGGAGGGTGTTTTCGAGTTCTTGTCCAAGGTCTTGCATTCCTGGCCGTCGGGTTCACGGAACGTCTGGTGCTGCATGCTGGCCAACCCGCAGAATTTGGACATAGGGTCCTATTTGCAATCTCCGAGCAGGTCGCCCTTCGCACAAGCACTCCAGGCGTCTTCATGTGTCCTGGTGGTGCCCAACCGCCATCGTAGCATTTACACCAGGCACCGGTAGTTCTTAAAAGAGATGATTCGCACTGTGCATTTTCCTGGTTGCTGTAGCATCCCCATTCCCCAGGCTTTGGTGCGGATATGAAGCCTATATCGCCCATGAGGAGGGCAAGGTGATCTTAATTGCCCGACCTTCGTACAGCAACCATATCGGTGCCGCTGTTATCTCAGCCACGCTAGTAGGACCGGCCACAAACAAAAGCATGTCGTTTAGACCGAGTGTTTTTGTACGTTCAGTTTCCACAGGACTGACTGGCATGCTCTGCGGCGCATTTCTTCTTCTCCGGCGCTGTGAGCTCCACCCCATCCCCCTGTATGTCATAGCAACTGCTGCATTCATCAGCATAAATATCAACCACTACAGAAGCCGCACGCTGCTGAACCGGCTGGGTGCTTTCACTTGTGGTATTATGTTCCTGGAATGGACGACGGTCAACTTTGACGGTGCGGAGGGTCCGTCTCGCGTTCCCGGTATCATCCTTTGTGTCGAACAGCGCTTGCTGATTCTTGCCGCTTTCTCTTTCTTCTTGCTGCTGGAGGCCGACCGGGTCAATGCTGCAGCTAGAGCATGGGAGGCGGAACAGCTTCGCCGCGGATATCAAGGCAGCATCGCAGATGCAACGTGCTCGGATGCAGCTGACAGCGCTCGGATCTTGGGGGAGATTGGCGACAAGATGGAGGCAGTGGATTATGCAATCCACGTCTTGCTAAAGGCAGGGATGTCATCGCCCACGCTTCGGGAGATTGCCCGTGCAGGAATTGATGTTCAGGGCGCCGGAAATGCTGTCATTGCTTTTCCCGTTGTAGCACTCGTTCCATTGAACTTGGAGACGTTATGGTCGACGTATGTGGATATGGCTTCTTGGCCATCAATCGGCATGGTAAGAAAGTCCCGGACATGTAGTGCTGAAGCTTTGTAAGCGCTAAACCTTCTAGATCCATGAAACGAACTGGACCCTGGGTTTAGGATGATTTGTGCTAGGATCCCTGCCACTTTGGCTTAAGGGCACGAGGATAATAATATTCCAACTTTCTGGCTTGTACTAGAAGGTCTACATGAGCGAAGACGTCCATCTTTGGATTCCACTCTGGATTTTCGAGTTCATGTCTTTCCTGGTTCGGATTGCTATCGTTGTTGTCCTCTGCCGGAGTCAGCGGGACGAACGCTGCTTCATCATGAAGATGAGCCTAGTCCCTGTTGAAGAGGTTCGTACAGGGGCCTTGATGAGAAAAGGGTTCGGGTGTATACAATAGTAGTACTAAGTAGTGTAATCTTGTTCTTGGTTATTGTTCAGGACGTTAATGCAGGAACCTTACTTAAATTAGCTTTGTGGGCATACTTAACTGTATTGATAGTGTACATATTGATATTCTTGGTTATTGCTGCTGAGGAGTTTCATGAAAGACTTCAATGAGAGTAGAGTTTCGGAGCATACCCTAGCAGTATACGGACATTATTGGTTGTTGTTGAGAAGTCGTAGTTGGGTACTGGAGCCTTAAGTAGAATTGAGTCTTGGGGGTGGTGGTACTGTTGCGGTTGTTGTTGTTGTTGTTGCTGCTATTTCTGTGCTTGCTGTTGAGGCTGTGTTGCCGCTGTTGTTGTTGCTGCCTTTGCTGCTCGTGTTTGACCTGTGTTTTTCTATGTTGTTATTTAGTTGCCCGCGCTACAATCATGTATACATTCCCGTATTGCCGGGCCGAAAGCAGCCCCAACAATTCGGTACTGGTTGCTGGGTTTTGAGGGACTTAGTCGGAGTTGCCATAGAAGAGACATTCGATTACACCATGTTGCTTTCGCTACGATGTTATCTTAAACTTTACACAAAGCTAAGCGCGTGCTTGAGGATTTTGCATTGATGTTGTCCTCTTGTCGCTCACATCACCGAGCTAATGTTGTTGTTGTGGCTGCCGTAGTAGAAGTTCACGTTGAGGTACACTCGCAGACCGTTCCCTCTCTCTCTCTCTCTGTAGCAATGAGACTTGCACGCTCCTTTTGGGCCGGCGGAGCTCTGCTTCGGTCCAGGGAACTTGCTCGTACACCTGAATCTCTGGCTCACATTTTAAGCTGTGCTATTGGCAAGTTCTTGAACCACAAAGTTGCGGTTGTGGCGGGGCACTCAAATTAGACAGCACGTAGCACTCTGCAAAGCACATGTGCTGATTATGGTTCGCACAGACAGCTCTATAGACGACAAACAGCAACAACAACAACAACAACAACAGCAACAGCAACAGCAGCAACAACAGCACCAACAACATCAACCACAAACACAGCAGCTACATACCAACATCACCAAAATCATCAACAACACAACCACCACCACCACCATCAACAACAAGAGCAACAACAAAAACAACATCAGCAACAACGACAAGAGCAACCACAACAACAGCAGCATCAGCAGCAGCATCAGCAGCATCAGCAGCAGCAGCAGCAGCATCAGCAGCAGCAGCAGCAGCAGCAGCAGCAGCAGCAACACCACTGACAAGAGCAACAACAACACAGTATCATCAGCAACATAGTCGCATTAGTTTCTTTGCGTTATGATGATAACAGTAGCATACAGCATTCAATTAGTGGTAATGACAGCAAAAAAGTACAAGTTCTGAGTGTCATAGTGTTAATCGTAGATAGCAATGGTTGAACACGAGCCAAGGATGGGAAAAATCGTTGGCCTTTGGGTCCTTGCGGCTTGTCCATTCATAGCCACCTGGGAGCTGCAATCGATGCAGACGTCAACTCCAAAGAGCGGCTGGTTTGCCGCGCCTTTGGTTGTCTACGCCAGCATCCTCGGATTTGCCTGCATCTAAACTGCATCTATGGTGCTATGGGAACAAGTCCCCGCAAAGGCGTATCCGAGGCCCGCAAGACAAACGAGACACCATTAATGGCAATATTTTCATACCCATATTTTCATACAAAACAGGGCCGAAGGAAGAATCCCCGAAGCCTCAAACCCTACACTCATGATGATGAAGGCAAACCGTCACTTTTCTGTACTGGGCTGCAACCCTGGAAACCCAAGAACCTGAATGCCAGAAGACATGCACATCCCAAAGTCTGACAATGTCGTGCAAAGACCCCGAACCTTAAACGCAGACCCTAAACCTGGCTCAGCTACTTTTGGAATTTCAACAGAGATTTCCTGTCTGCATCTGAAGTTGGGGCTCGCAGCCTGAAGCGGTTAAATTTCAAGGCGCCCAACCATTGAGATAAGGTATACCTTGTGAACCATAGTGAGGATCCTACCATAATTTATAAGGATGTTCTTCCAATCCGGGGCTCCTTTCTCTTTCCTGAAGCCGAGGCTTGGGAATGCGCCGCCTTCTGCGGTGTCCGGGCTGTGGCTCCTGCTTGCTGCAGCTGTTCTTGGCCCGAGGCCGTGGATATTTTGGAGGCAGCTGAGATGAAATTTGGTTTGCTTTAAGACCGTTGGTCAATTGTATATACGCATATACATGTCATGTCATGTCATGTCATG